CTGATATTACTGGCTGCCTCTGGTGGGAAGGAAAGGAACTTGGAAAATCCAAGTACAGGAGTATTATTTTTCATTGTTTATGTTTTTCATTTTATTTGAATTTTTAATCATGTGCATTTATTATATCTTAAGTTAAAACTTAAAAATTAAAATAAGATACTATTAAAATAAAATTTTAAGATAATTGTGTCCTTTGTATTACTTTTGAAATTCTACTCAAAGGAAATAATCTTAAAAGCAAAACACTATTTAGCAAACGATGGAAATATAAAAATACAGAAATATAATATAGTAATAAAATTAATATTACACATTTTAATGATATTAGAAAGTCTTTATGGTTCATTTGTTCATCTTGCATTTTTAAATGAGTACTTATATTATGCCTAAGAACATATTGCTAAAAGACAAAGGCAAGATAAAAGAAGTTTTGGCTCTCGATAGACCTGGTTATAATCTGCATTCACCACTCACTAGGGGAAAAAAGTTGCCAGTAAAATAAAGAAAATTGTCAGCCTCAAAATATACATGTTAAAATTACAATGAAATTTCCTATTGCCTAAAAAACAAGTGAGAACAGAAAAATAAAATGTTCCTGACTTTTGATATCACCCTAAGATTGACAGTCTTTAATATACACAGCTGGTGGGTTTGTAAATTGCCACCAACATACCAAAATCAATTTGGCAAAATTTATCAAAATTGTTCACAAATGTTCAAATTTTCTCACCCATTCTATTTTTACAAATATATCCAAAAGAAATAATTTAAAGCAAGCCAAAAATTATTCATTAAAAAATTTATTCTAACATTAGAATATGAAGCCTTTAAAAATAACTTTTATACAAATTTACTTTCTCTTACATATTTATGTGCTTTCTATATAATTTGGAAAAGAAAGCAGCAGATGTTTATTACTTTAAATAAAAATGTTTATTATTTTAAGAGAATTTACTTCATCTTACATATTTGTTTTTCATATAATTTTCATAATTCAATAAACAATATGTTTATTAAAGAAACAGAAAAAATTTCACTTTGTACCAGAAATCCCCAATCACATTAATAAATTGATGTTTAATAATTGCTAAGAACTTCTTATAGGCCAGAAATAACTTTGATGATGATGATAATTATGGAGTGTGTATTCTAACTTATTCCTCACAATAACCCTATGAAACAGGTACAATATCATTCCCAATGTATACATAAGGGAACAAGGCACTGGTAATTATAGAACTTACTCCCATATACATAGTTTTTCGAGTAAGTGGAAAAGCTAGGATTTGAGAACTTGGAAATCTAAATGTATAACCATTGTATTCTTCTCTCTCTTAGTCTAGCTCTATTCCAGAAATTCTATGAGAATTTAAACAACTTCTGAAACCTCCCTGTGTTACAATTCTTTAGGTAGTAACAATAATACAGTTTTACATGTTTTAACTTAGTACATGTTTGAACTAAGTTACAAACATGCTGGTCAATCAAAAGGAAGCATGTTTTGAAATTTCATATGCCCATGGAAAAACTGATCTATGTGGCAAAGCTATCTTGCTAAGAAAGAAAGAAAATGAATCTTAGAAAGTGCCCTAAAAAAATAGTTACAAATAACCAATTAGCCAATTAATTAAATCTAAATGAACTTTTCCTGTTTGCTCACCTAACAAAAATGCACTTCTTGAGCACAAGAACTCTGACATATTTTGTACCTTCTCTGAGCCTAACAGAGAGCTCTCCATATAGTAGATGCTTAGTAACTGTTTTATTCATGATATAGTCAGTCAAACGTCATAACATGGTCTGCTGAATCCTATGTATATAAAAATATGCTATATATTATAAAATTTATATATATATATATATTTTTTAAACATGGTCTATATAATGACTTCAAGAAATTTGTGTATGAATCCATGCTAGAAAAAAACTTATTAGAAGCATTAGGAGTAAAGCAATACAGGAAATCATAAGCCCATTCTTGCAGGGTAGTGAATGCTGAGTAGCACGGCAGAACTGCAGAAAATAAATCCATGTTGTAAGACAGGTCATCCTCACAGTTAGGCTTGGAAACTTACCCAACAAGAGACTATAAACAGCTTCCAAAAGGAGAAACTACTAACCCTTCCTCAATGGTGGTCACTGATTAAGATTGAAGTAATTATCCAATAGGAAAAGGCAAGAGAGAAGCAATGACAGAAAAAGGGCTTTAACTTAACACAACCTCCTACAGTGTGTACCCTGAAAGATCAAGGTAATAAGACCTAACCCTGAAGAATCCTTCTGTTTGAGAAACACTTTCCAATGCTGGATTAGCTAATTTCATGTAATCTTTAAAATATATATAATATATATATATATATATATATATATATATATATATATATATATTAGCTAATTTCATGTAATCTTTAATATATATATGTATATATATAATATTATAAATGGACCTTTATTTTATTTATATGTGGTACTGAGACTCAAATCCAGGGCCTCACACATGCTAGGCAAGTGCTCTACCACTGAGCCACAACCTCAACCCCTCATGTAATCTTCATAGCCACCCTCATAGTCAGGAAGTTATGAAAGGATTGTTGTTAATACTTTTCTACCCAGAAATAGGGGCTCAGGTTGAAGGGCTAAGTGGCATTATGAAGGATCAGGCAATTTAGATGACACTGGTAAATTGCAATGCCAGACTATACTCGAACTTCCTTGAAACCTTTATATATTTTTTATTTATTATTTTTCTTCATTTATTTATTTGTCCATTCAGAAATAAATAGCAAGGTCAAGGTGTAGCAGCCCAGATTGTAAGCCACTCAACAACTTCTGTGAAGATATGTATTGGTTCCTTTGAAAATATATGAACATCTAACATCCAACTTGGAGTATCAGCAAAAACTCTGACACAACAGAAAGATTGTGCAGTTAATTATTCTCTCTTCTCTATGCTCCAGGAGTTTAAAAAAGAAACATACATTATTTTATTTTTATTAACCATTCTTCTTTGTCAGGTATGTTACATTTGCCCATGTTTTTCTTTATGTGTTTTTAATACTGTCACACTAGTTTATTTTTATTTGCCTGCCTTTTCCCATTCACTTATTTCCATATCCCTTTGACATTTTAATTTCAGCCCGTTTTGAGGTACTATTGAAAGCAATATTTATTTATATGATGTTGACACAAAAGTAAGTTGCAGTGAGATGAAAAGTATTCAGGAGAAAGAAGTAAAACTTAGACGTTTCTCATAAAGTTTGTGAGGCAGGAAATAGGAGTAACTCTGAGAAGACTGCAGAGTGGAGATATTTATATAAATTTTTTTTTAGTTGTAGATGGACACAATTTATTTATTTATTTATTTATTTATTTATTTATTTATTTATTTTTATGTGGTGCTGAGAATTGAACCCATGACTCACACATGAAAGGCAGGCTCTACCACTGAGCTACAGCCCAGCCCTGAAGATATTTTGATATGGGAAGACTTCAGAACCTTCTATAATGAGGACCATGATTCAAAAGGCAGGGCTGAATTAACACCTGAGGAACCTGAATCGAAAAGCTGTCTATCTGCTATTCTGCCTCTGGGACCAGGACTGAATGGGTATATTCCCAGCAGGTACCCTGTTAACCCCAAAGAGCACTTTGTTCCCATTATGTTAAAAGCATCAGGCCCTTGAGGATACATGGAATAAGAGGAGGGCCCAGAAAGCAGCAAACCAGGAGCAAACATCTCAAGGGCACAATTTATATTAAAACCCCAAACTCCAGGGGCAAGAAGCAAGAACAAGGGTCTGTTCTGGACAACAGGTTAAACATAAGTAACTGCAGCTCAGGAAAGTAAAAGCAGTTACAGAAGTCATTGGCAGGCTGGGAGCCTCTTCATAGCCCCTCCCTTAAGCAGTAAGTAAACCAATTAATGGTTTGTGTGTTGAGAGGTGAGGGCATAGAGTCCACATCCTATAATTCTGTCCTGATCTCTCAATTTGATTACATAATCTTATCTTTGGCTTACAAGTTTCACTTTTCTATTCTTTTTTTTTTTTTTCTTCCTTCTTCTTCTGGATTGAACCCAGAGGTACTTAAGCACTGAGCCACATCTCCAGCCCTTTTTTTATATTTTATTTAGAGACAGTTCACACTGAGTTGCTTAGGGCCTTGCTAAATTGCTGAGGCTGGCTTTGAACTTGGGATCCTCCTGCCTCAGTTTCCCAAATAGCTGGGATTACAGGCATGCACCACTGCACCCAGCTTTTCTTAGCTCTTTATTTTTGTGGAACCAAGATCTGTAACCATGAAAAAGGAGAGAAATTAGGCTAATCTCTAATATGGTTAGTGAATAAGTGATAAACCAAGGGATCTAGAGGAATAAATTCCATACCCCAGTGTCCCAGAAGAAAGTTAACTCCAAACAAGACTATTCAATTATATCTGATAAAAGACATGCAACTTAAAAAACAATAAACATTAAATGGATGTAAACTCTAGCTGAATTCCCATTGAAGTCAACCAAAAAAGTCAACATAATCCATCATAATTATTTTACATTAATCATGAAACAAAAACTATTGAGACATGAAACAAAGATTAAGAGATACAAATATTTATAGAGGAAATATTGTTTGCAAGCAACTTTTTGTTCTGCCTTGAAAAATTATCAAGTTTTTTAAAGATAAAATATACATGGATCCAAACATATAATTTGTAGCATGCACAATCAACCAGACAAAACTGAGGAAGATGTTACTAAACCATTTGATAACATTTAGTTGTCAGTGGAAATATATTTATAAAGAATCAAAATGTTTACAAAGAGTTACTTAATGAATAGGGAAAAGCACAGAATGAAAACCCCTATGTATATGAAATGTCAACTGTGTAAAATGCTGAAAATAAATATTTTAAAATGTTAAACATATTGACTGTGGTTGCTAGAATTTTGATTTATATTTTTCTTCATTTCTATTTTCTAAAAGTGTTATTGTCTTATTTTTCTTTTTCAAATAGTCAGAGATGGTAAGAGATAGAGCCTTGAATTTATAGTAATGCCATGAAATGAAGCAAAGGCAGAGATTTGGAAGAGGTGATATTGATACCTAAACATCTGACAAGGAAAAGTGATATTCATAGATAAAGGTACGAACTCTCAGATATTAAAGTATTCCCCAAGCATAATGCCCAAGTTCACTTTTTGATACAATTACTTAAAAATATTCTCCAATGGTTCACGAATTAGCACAATCAAAAATAAAGTGACCTCATAGTGGGGTAGGGAGGGAGAGCATGGGAGGAATAGATGAATTCTAGATAGGGTAGAGGGGTGGGAGGGAAAGGGAGGGGCCAGGGGAGGGGAGGGGCAAGGATGGTGGAATGTGATAGACATCATTATCCAATTTACATGTATAAAGACCAGAATTGATGCGAACATATTTTATATACAGAGGGATGAAAAATTGTTCTGTATGTGTAATAAGAATTGTGATGCATTCCGCTGTCATGTAATTAAAAAATAAAATAAAGAGAATCAAGTGTTAAAGGGTCAAGAATGAGCCATGAAATTATTTAAACAAAAGAAGCCTAAATGTAATAAATGCCTGCTATATTTCCAAAGTGTTCCATGCAAAACTCTGGATGTGGTGAAAGTTTGTTGGTAATGTTCCTCTTACATCCATTACTAATATAATTATTTTTAAATACATCTTTAAATATGCTGGTTTTTTTTCTGGACACGGTGGTACACATCTGTGAGGCTAGCCTCAGCAACTTAGCAAGGGCCTAAGAAACTTAGTGAGACCCTGTCTTGAAATAAAAAATATAAAGGACCAGGTATGTAGCTCAGTGTTGTAAAACATGCCCAGATTCAACCCCTAGTATAAATAAATAAATAAATAACAAGCTTTTGTCATTTTTTTCTATACTTTATTGTGAAAAATTTTATATGTATACAGTAAATTACAAAGAATTTTAAGTACGTACTCCCACCCACGACCTGGGTTGTACCATTAACTTTAAGTTTTATTTTGTTTTTACTTGACACATAATAATTTTACACATGGGGTTCAGTATGATGTTTCAATACATGTATACATTATGTAATGATCAAACCAGGGTAGTCAGCATATCTATCAACTCAAATATTTCTCATTTCTTTATAATGAGAACATTCAAAACCCACATTCCTAGCTATTTTGAAATATATAATACATTTTTGTTAACTGTTATCAACACTCCTATTGGCAATAGAATTTAATTGTTCTATCTAACTGCACCCATTGGATCAATTTCTGCCCATCCAAGCACCCCACTTTCTCCCTTCCCTAGCCTCTGGTAGTCACTATTTTAACTCTCTAATTCTATGAGAACAACTTTTGGGTTTTCTTARTGCATTAAAGCTATATTTAATAGTGGGGTTCATTTTGACATAATCACACATGCACAGAATATAATTTGTTCCATTTCAGTTCCTAGTACCTCCTCTCTCTTCCTCTTCTCTCTCCACCACATTCCATCTCCTCTACTTCATTGGCCTTCCCCCATCCATTCATTGTTTTTATAAATTGGTTCTTTATAAGTGTACATTAAGGTGGAATTTGCAGTGCTACATTCACACATGCATACAGTGTAATTTGGTCAACCTAACTGTTGACCTAATTCCTCTTTTTTCCCTTTTTAGACTCCATAAATGAGTGAGATCATGCAGTATTTGTCTTTCTGTGTCTGGCTTATTTCACTTAACATAATATCCTCCAGGTCCATTTAATATTACTTTCATAATTAGAGGGGGAAATAAGGATATATCCTAACAGATACTGATGTGTTGGCTGCAATTTTATGGGAGGGATAATATTAAAACATGCATTTAATATTTTTGCTATAGTTTAGTCCCTTATTAGTGTTTTCAATGTATCCAACTCATTCAATCTCAGTTTCTTCATATGTAAATAACTCAATGGTAAAGATACAATGAGATGATCAATATTAGACACCATTTGCCAACCACAAGACACTGTCTAAAAGAAAAGCACAGTCAGAGTTTATGACATAATTTCTGACATAAGATCCCCCAAATTGAAACACTGCTGCCTCCCTTTATCTAATGTACATCTCTCTCACTTTGAGTCCATGTTTGTCATATTAAAAATCCACCCCAGTATTTCTGGAGTAAAAGTTTGTAGATATTCACATGTATTGCACTGAAGTATTTTAGAAACTATTTTGGTCTTTCTGCCTTATCTGAACATTTTCCAAGTCTCTCAAGAAGGTTGAGAATGCATTACATTATAAGGGACCATGATATTGTAGGTGAGCTTTATTCCTCTACTCTCAGCATAGCTAATGAAAGCCTTATTTATTTTCTCCTGAATCCACAGGCAGATGCTGAGAACAAGACATTTCATGATATGGATATTGCCCTGTGTACAGCCAACAGCTCAAGGGTTCAAGTATCTGAATTCATTCTGATGGGACTTCCAGGCATTCATGAGTGGCAGCACTGGCTGTCCTTGCCCATGGCTCTGCTTTACCTCCTAGCTCTTGTTGCTAATCTTTTTGTCTTAATCACCATCTACCATGAGCCTACCTTGCACCAGCCCATGTATCAATTCCTAGGTATCCTGGCTGTGGTAGACATTGGCCTTGCTACCACCAGCATGCCCAAGATCCTGGCCATCCTATGGTTTGATTCCAAGGCCATCAGCCTTCCTGAATGTTTTGCTCAGATATATGCCATTCATTCTTTTATGTGCATGGAGTCAGGCATCTTCCTCTGCATGGCACTGGATAGATATATAGCCATTTGTTATCCCCTTCAATACCCCTCCATAATTATTGAAGCTTTTGTTATCAAAGCCATACTGTCCATGGTGCTTAGGAATGGCCTATTGACCATCCCAGTACCTGTACTAGCTGCCCAGAGACACTACTACTCCAAGAATGAAATTGATCACTGCATGTGTTCTAACTTGGGGGTCACTAGTCTGGCCTGTGATGATATCACCATTAACAGGTTTTACCAGTTGGCCTTGGCCTGGCTTGTTGTTGGGAGTGACATGATTCTGGTCTTTGCTTCCTATGCTTTGATTGTTAACTCAGTACTGAAGCTGAACTCAGCTGAAGCAACATCTAAGGCCCTGAGTACCGGTAGTTCCCACCTCATTCTAATTATCTTTTTCTATAAAGCTATTTTTTTT